CTGCTAGCCAAGACGTGGTCCGCAGACTGTGTTCGCACACTGCCGTAACGACTAAAAAGCCGAAGGGCTGACGCTGGGGTCGGGAGGTAAGTCAGAGAGGATAAGTAACCGTTCTATCTAATGAGGATTTAATACACCTAGTTGTGAATATGTCCTGATGAGGCGGATGTTTTTGAAGAAAGGCCGAGAAGACTGTTACAGGAGTCACCGACAGAAGCTTAAAGGTGCAGCAAAGAAAAAGTGTCTGTGAGAGAGAAAAGGAAAGGGGAAAAGTGTGCTGTCAGTTTGACTTATATAAACACCATGATCCAACATATACGAAAGAGTAAATTTAATTACCGTCGAATTGAACAGTTAGCGCGAGAACAGACTTTCTTTCAAGGGCATTCGTGCCCAGTCACAGTCGCTACAACGTAGTATGAATTGACAGAAGAAAAATATCCGCGGATAGCCGGTGAGGACATCAGCGGCGGCTACAATCCAAAGTCGGATAACAACATAGTTTTTTCAGGACAATGTTTAACTCATAATGACAATCAGAGCGGGACAGGATAACTTGGTTAAAGCCCCTGCTGCAAAGTCACTTCATCTTATTACAGACGCGCTGACTGGCGACGGCACGAAAACACAATCACCCATGCCCGCAATCTTTAATCAGACCCGACACGACAGTTCGACAGTCGTTGCCGATGATGTGCTCCACAGCGAGGTGGAGCAGACTTGCGCAGCATCTATCACACTCACCACTCCTTACCCACCTGGACCTGGTGTTAAGACAGTCAGGAAGACAGGAGGGAGGGGGACGCAGGTGGATGGTACGATCGAGTCCGCATCTTGGCGTACCACTCCACACCCCCCGATCCATACAACAAATGGCCAAGATTTTCACCGAAAACAACAGAAGGGGCTGGCGCTGTCGGGGCCGCCCCTAGGCGTGCCGTGACAACTGACTCGGATCTCACGGAGCGGAAGTGCCATAAAGGCCACATTAAGAAGGAGCCGTTGCAGCCTGACTCTAATCAGCCGCTCCACACAGACGCACAACCGGTGCATTGCCTCAGGCATGAGCTGACAGTTCGATCGTCGCGATCGATAATATGCACCGTGTGCCCACAGCGTAGTAGGCGCAGAACGGTGACTTGAGCATAAGCCATAGCACCCTACCCTCCTGGTTCCGGTGACGAGACAGGACACGTTCGCCATCGTAAAGAATGACATGCTGCAACATTTCCACAGCCTGCTCAACGCAGTCTTCCCTGATATAAAATTCACGAAGGAGGAAGAACACGAACAGCAGTTGCCCTTCCTGGATGTGCTTGTCAGACGAAACCTTGACAGTGAACTTGAAACGACAGTTTATAGGAAGGCAACGAACACCACACAGCTTCTCAGTTTTTACAGCAACCATCCGGTGGCACACAAACGAAGCTGTGTGAAGACGCTCTTCAAACGGATCCACACTCATTGCAGCAAACTGGAAGATAGAGCGCATGAGGCCCGTTATCTCCGCGACCAGTTTGTGCAAAATGGCTATCCGAGGGCATTCATAAGTCGCTGCCTACGCGGTCGCCACCAGAGAACTCAAATATCAACGCCACCGACGATATGGCATTCTCTGCCATACATCAAGGGTGTTTCGGAAGCGACCGAGCGCATTGCTGCGGAGCTAGGGGTTGGAATCGCATACCGCCCCAAAGCCACCATGCACAATAGGGTCATGAAAATCAGAGACCGGTTAATGCCTGAAGAGCAATTTGGAGTAGTGTATCGCATTCCGTGTCAAAATTGTCCCTGTAACTATACAGGACAGACTGGGCGCATGCTCGGATCGCGCATACACGAACATATG